CACGCGGTCCCTCAGCCCAACCGCTGCAGCCCCCAGCCCCGCTCCAAGCTTTGGGGTTCGCTGCAGCCCGAGCTGCCCGCGGTGGTACCCTCAGAACTGTCCTCATTTCTCCCTGTCTCTCACAAATCCCGGAATGGGGATTTCCGGGCATGTTTTTGGGTGCCGTCACCTTCCAGAGGTACGTTCGCTCCCGAGATGCGCAGACCTGGAGCCGGAGCTCAGTGATTGTGGCTGGAAGGTTGGGTTCTCACTGCAGTACAACGTAGTTCAGCTGTCCCAGGTTTTCCTGCACACTGATTCAGAGCAGGGAAAGAAATGGGGAAGTGAGGGAGGCTCTGTGGCATCAGGGGGCCCGAGATTAGCATGGGGACCATTTCTCTGGAAGGGAGGGAGAGTGCCATGGGGCTCATGGATGGTCGTCTCACCTCCTGTGGCTCATGCTCACCCTTTTAAACAACCCAGATGAGGTTTCTGGATCTCCCCAGGGGTTATTTCCAGTTCATCCTTGTGCCTCCTTCAGTTCCCCGTGGCTGAGGAGGTGCCCTGCAGATAGGAGCCTTTCCCTCATGTTCATTTACTCTTTTGCCAGCTGACTGAAGGAGCTCCAAGAGTCCAGAGCAACTGCAGAGCATCCTTGAGCACATGAAGTTCGAGTCATTAAGCCTGCACTGGGCTCCTCACTACCAGAAGGCTGTGGGTGCTCTGAGCTGGGAAGTCTCAGCCATATTTTAAACCCCAACAGTGGGTGATGGGCCCTGCATGTCCTTACCTAAGCCCTGCCATTCAGGTTTCACCCCATCTGAGCAGGGGATGCTCAATCCCCCACACCAATGGCTGTCTCAACAGGGCTGAGGGGGTAGGTCTTACTCTCCCTCATCATGTGGGGAAGACAAGATGGCTGGCATCCCAGAGAGGGACTGAAAGCAGCAGACCCCTATCAGAGGTGACTTGGGCTTATCCTGAAGAATGCTGAACCCAAGCCAGGCAAGACAGATTACTGCTTCATGCCTTGGTGTGGGAAGAAGAGGGCAGAGAGATGCAGGCCACCACTTTTCCG